TTTCATTATTTAAAAAATGCTAATAATTTTTTACTTGCATTACTTTTTTATCAAGACGACGAGATACAGATCAAAGCAATTGAGAATTTCTTGCTTGATATCGAGTCATAGAAAAAAGTACTATTGTGTTTTTACGTTAAAAAACCGTTTTATGTTAAAGAATAATTTAACGAGAAGTATTAAATTAGAGCGTAGTAACCAAAAACGAGAAAGAAAATGAATTGTATATTTAAGTTTATTTTTTCCACAAAATTAACAATAATTTAATAAATATCTGATCACGAGTATAAATAATAGTTTTCAATAGCAATAATCGTAGCTTAAAAAAATAAATAAAAAAAGTTACAAATTACAAGTTTGAAGTCTTATGACAAACAAAAATTTCGCAAAACGAGAGAAAGGACGAGGCAACGAGCGCTGTTATATCTCGTTGCCCTATTCCACATGGATCGGCGAAAAAGGTTCGTTTACATACTATGTACACACTGACATGTAGACTCTGCTTATAAAAATTCAACGTTGCTTCGAGTTGACCGTCAACATTTTCCGGTTTCATCAATGTACACAGTGGCGTCATAAACGTCGGGACCGCGAAAAGGAAAAAAAAAAGAAAAAAATGTAGAGGAAGAAAGAAAAAAAAAACGAAAAATGAGAAAGGAAAAACAAATTCACGCGAATTGTTTGGCGTATTTCGAAATTCTGCGCAGCGCGTGCAGCTGGGGACTGATTACAATTGTGATATTCAACGGAGTCGACAATACGGCGCAACGCAATGATCGCGAGTTCGGAATCCGCATCCACGAGGATGATTCTGGTGTGTATCAACGAACACGATGAAGCCAATCACCCGCAACATGCATAACAATACATAGCGCGATTTAATAATTCCATACGCGCGCACACGCATGGTCCGCGTCTGTTAAGAAACATTGGTTACAGTTCGTAGTGTCATTACGAATTTTTCCGTTTTACTATGTTTTGCTATATTCATGATCAACCCGCCGGTGGGATTTTTACGCGTTTTGAAAGAATAATCGTTCACAATTTGTATACACCGCTCGATGTTGCCGAAGGTCTCCTGTCGGTAATAAAACAAGAATCCTCCCAGTTTCCAAGAATTTTTAAAAATTCTAAAGAACACTCAGAAACGTTGAAAAAATTATTGAAATCATTTACAATAACACGAGCGTCTTTATACTTTTGTTTACGCCAGTCTAAAAATGTGTTCAAGTTTTACATCTTATAACAAATATGATTTTCGATGGTCCCGAAACGTCTTTATATGTTCAATATTGACCTTGTTCAATATTTCATTAAAAACATTGTTTGTTAATTCCACTTACAGATCTCTAATCCATTACATTCATCATTCATTATACATTATAAGACAGAAAATAAATTGTAAATTGTATACTAAAGAATCAGAATTTAGAAAATAATATTAGAATTTAAATATAAATTTTGCAAATAATGAAACAGTTTATTTTATTGTAATTATATATTTTATGGTTTATTACTTCCTTTTTAAAATGTTTATCTTTGAGAAAATTTTAAAGTAAAATTTAACTAAATTACATCTGTAAAATATATACAATCATCGCCAACAAAAATAGCTGTAAAACTGCATTTTGAGTTTGAAAAAGTTATATTTATTATTTTGATAGGGATTGCATATGAAATATATATATAAATATATATATAATATATATTAATTTTACTATATGTAAAAAGGTAAAATTAGATTTTGAAGTATGTAAATTTGAAACCAATTTGTATATACATTTTGATACGCTCACGCGTATACAACATGAAATACAACTATATAAGTAAAAAAATAGTTGATAATTAAGTTTTATATTTGACGTTCTTGGTATTGTATTAAAAAATGCAGTAGTGAAATCTTACGGAAAAGATACGCGCGCGCACTCACACATACACACACGCACGCACGCACACACATTCATAAATTTATTCAACATATTATTTTCACGCCATTATTAAGCATTATATAATAAGAGTAACACGGTTACACGGTTCGTATTTTTTATTGGTTCTTCGAGGAAAAAAAAAAGAAATTCTAACTGATTTTTAAAGAAATTTTGAAAGATAGGCGGTTAAATGTTTGCATGGGGAGAAATGACGAGCGATGCGTTAATAAAATTCCTATGTAATATCTTAGACAAAAATATGAATATGTCAGAGAAACATCGAACCTTGTATGGCTTGTACACTCGTTTGGCTATTCGATCTGCTAAGCGAATAATCCAAAACTGTTTTCTACACGAGAGAATGATCTCATAGCCACACCGCTAAAAGAAGGGTTTATGCGCATTTGCTCCATACGAGGGCACAGCGTGTCATGCTACGTTTCAAGACCCCAAAGTATGTTACAGAATCAGCTGTAGTACGATGCACTATGCCTTTGTATGAATCAAGTATGCATTGGTTTTAGCTAACGCGAGACAACGAGGTATGACAAGACTACTCTATGTGGCGTGGAGCTGAGTGTGTTTTTAGCTCAACTGTTGCGTCCTTCATCAAACACATGTATATACGTAATATACTTTGCTACGTGTACATATAAATGATATATAGATAGTAAAGCAGGGAGATACTACGCACTGTATTATTATATGATGTATATAGAAAGTCAGTTGTAATTTTGCATCAATTCTGTAATAATGTTTGATAAACGCGACAGTATGAAGTATTAATATCCCGCAGTATTTGTCATTTTACCAAAGGTTTCACATTTTTCAATTTTTGTTTTAATTCGTGCTGCAATAATTTGCCACTCTTAATATAATATCTGTTTTATGATATTGATATCTAAAAACCTGTGCATTTTAGATTTCTCATTTTATTCCTAATTATAATAATATTTTTATTTTATATTATTTGTTCTTGGACGAATTTGTACAATGTGAAGTTATTATGTTGACAACATTAGTGTGGCATTTTTTTCTAATGAGGATACGTATACTGTATACGTTACAAACATACATTTTTTTCAACAAGAAATACATCGCACAGTTTCGACAGCATGTAGTTTCGTTTTTTTTTATTTTTTATTTTTTTTTTAATTAAAGACATTTAGCAAGTGCAATCACAGAATTAAAAACAGAATTATTATATATGCATTTTGACATTCATAACACACGCACGCACACACGCGCACACCACACACACATACATACACACACAAATATATGTATACATACAGTGAGTACAAAAAGTATTCGTACAGAGAAAATATTTTTTAAAAAAACTTAATTTTTAAAAAATAAATATTTTCCAACGAGAAATGAGTTATCGAATTGATGCTGAATCGATACGATGATTTCAACACCATTTCGACGTCGATTCGACGTTTAATTGACGATCATTTCTTGGTTGGTAATTAACAATTTATTCATAAATAATAAAATAGACTGTATGTTTCTTAAAATTATATATACCAAAAAGATGTGTATTAATTATAGAAAGTATATCTGAAAAATAAGCGAAAATTAAAAATTCTATTGTTTGGATGCTCGAAAAGTATTCGTACAGTCGAGAAATTTAGCTTCTAAAATCAGGAATTCATGCAAGCTCGTTTGTTTATGTTAAAACAAAATATATTTATTGTATATAAAATTGCTAATTAATGTTTATTTTTTACGTAAGTAAGACTTTTTATTAAAAAAATTTCCTTGTACGAATACTTTTTGCTCTCACTGTATATAAAATCATTAAGATCATTACATTCAATATGCAAACGTGATTACGAATTCGTGTTTTTATTTTTTAGAATTGATTGAAAGCCGCCCTTGTTGCGTGCTTGCGCGCGCGTAGGCGCATACACAAAACACAATCACAGTCAGAGTGTGATTCACTTGATATCACAAATGCATTCCTTGACAAGTCAATTTGTAATGTAATTCATTTTTTAATTGATTGGTCAATGAAACATTTGCAGCATTAAGGGTCAGTTATCTGGTATCATACTCATCTTTTGGTATATTTTACCTATGGGGTAAATCCGGCAATCCGCACATGTGATTGGGTAATCTTGTTACTTACCTAATAGGTAAAATTAATCAAAAGGTGAAACAACCGGGCCTGAATGAATTACATTCTCCATCTTTTATTTTTCTCTGTCCTTTTTTCATTCGCATACGTGCACGTGCGCGCATTACAATCACACACATCGACATGCAATCTCTTTATATAAACATTTATTTACTTACAAACATTGTTAATCAAGATTTATTGCTCCAAATTTCAAACCAAATTTCGTAAATCGAGCAGTTATTTATTGGCAAAAAAAACTGTCATACGAAAAATATAAGACTGCAGTCACATATTCCGAATCATTTTTTATTTGTAGAATATACAAAAGAAAAATAACGTACATTATGTAATTTATCAATGTAAAATTATACTTGATATACAATCATAGTTTGTTGTTTTTATCGATAATACAGGAAAGAGAAACGATACACTTGTCACAATGCAATGCACAATATGATAAATTTCGCGTATGATTATGGCCGTGTTTCGATATATGTACATTGCCATTACTGAAAATCTATAGTGCATGCTATAAATTTTCAGTACTTGCAGTGAATAACAGAACCTGTATAGGCGCGCGCGCGCGCGCACACACACACACACACACACACACACACACCACACACACACCAGAGTATATGTACATACATGAGCAAATTTGTGCAAAATTCAATATCCGTATGTACGGTATACACGTAATAGAATTCGTAAACGAGTGCTCCATTATTTTATACTCATTTTCGTCGTCGCATTGTTTCATTCTTACAGTGAAGAACGATAAACCGTATTACTTGAGAGATTTTATGTGTGTGTGTGTATGTACACACACACACACATCAAGAATTTAATCGATTCGATATTATTTGATAAGCGAACAATTAAAATTTACTGCAGTCTTTTAATGGCTATTAAGCGATAGCACTCTTGACGAATAACATCGTACTTACATACGAAGAAAAACATAGCGATGTGAACGCGAATCTGGATGATTAGGTGACAACAGTCGTGAAGTTTAAAGTACACTTTTCTTTTCCTATACTCTCTCCCTATCTCCCCTCCTCTCTCTCTATCTCTCCCTCTCTCTCCCCCCCCCCTCTCCTATCGTCATTCACATTTTTTTGTTCGCAGCGTTCATCAATCAATAGTTCCGTTTCGTTAGCATTCGTTCAATTCTGTCTGTGCAACTATAAAAAATAAATCACCAATTTTTATCATCGATACTAACTTACGAGAAGCATCTCGTCCGTCTCGTCTCGTCTCGTCTCGTCCGCACTGGTCCGCGATAATAAACCGCTCGCAGTCCAAAATGGCGTTCGTCCGAGCCTAATGTGAGAATAACAGTGGAAACGGAGAAAGGCAACTCGAGGCGGCAACTGCGCTGTTCTTTGCGACAATCCAGCAACCTGCTGGCTGCTGCTGCGCCGATGTACACCACTTGCTCCAATGGCGTATGCGCAGCAATTTCGATTTTCCCACACCCGTAGTATTTATAGGCGCACGCGCGCGCGAGACACACCCACCCATTCACACACACACACACACATACACACACACACAGAGAGAGAGAGAGAGAGTTTACTCCTCCTTACGATCGATATTTATTATCGATACCTATTCTTCTCCAACTAACCTATGATGAGAACAAATAAACAACAAGAAGACGGAAATATAGCTATTGCGGCTATTCAAGTTTTTAACACACAACTTTTTAGGATATGACGCACGTATATATACACACATGCGCGCACATACATATGTATGTATGTATGTATGTATATACGTATATCACGGGGTAAAGTGAGAGAGAGAGAGAGAGAGACCTATCTTTCTCTTGCACATATTACATACATATTTGATGAAAAGGCAGTGTCTTATATATGTTTATATATATGTATGTAATTGTATTGTATATATAAAAGGAATATGCATATAGTAAGAGATAATAATATTGTATAGAAGAGAGAGATATTGAAATACATGTACAATTTTAAATATTATTGTCTAACATCATTTTTTTATACACCACTAAAAATTTATTACTTCTTCAAAATATTTATTTCTTTATACCGAGATTTTACATGTCTGGTATAAACTTTATTTCTAAAAGGTATGAAAATGCTATAGTTGAGCAATTCAAAGGTAATCTCTTAAAGATTGTCTCTTCAAACTTTTTTTTAATCTTATTACAAAAATTAAAAGTTACTAAAAGATTATTTAATCTATTTTCTTCTATTTTCTTTTTTGTAGAGTTTTCGAATATTACGTCACGTAATAAATGCCGATTATTGAGAGTAATATATCTCTTTTCTACCATGTATATATTCACACAATTTACATTAATATTGTTGCTAAAATATCAAAATTTGTCATGAGAATTATAACAGTTCTCTCATTGGTTTTCTTATTTCAACAAAGTCGTCACATGTTGGAATTTCTTTTGTTTTCAATTTATAGCTAGAGCCTACATTAACTAATACTACTAAGTTTAAAACGACAGAAGGACTTTTATAAATTTTATATTTTATTTACACGCATGTCTCTCTCTTTCTCTCTCTCTCCTCCCTCCCTCCCCCCTCCTCTCTTCTTTCCTTAGTCCTCTTTCCATCCTTCGTTCACTCACTTATTCCCTCGTATACAATAAAATAAGCAAATATTAATAAATAAAGATGTCTCAATTTTATCACATTATATTTTTTTAATAATAAAAATTTCAATGTTACATACGATATAACTAATATTTAAAATAGAGCCTCTTGATTTATTTTTTTATCAAGTATTATATATTTCGCTATATGATATAGGAAATTGTAACGAAACAGTAATTAGAGTGCTGAAAGTACGTATATACGATTCTTTTTTGTATTATTTTTTCTTTTTCTTTCATTTGCACAATTCAATGTGCACAACAAATATAAGATTGAATTTCTAATAATCAGAACAAGCTTATCATTCGACACATGCGTTTAGTCTTTATTAATCTCTTTCATTATGAGAGAGAGAGAGAGAGAGAGAGAGAGAGAGAGAGAGAGAGAGAATTGTAGTATAATTTATTTATTTATCTAAATACTATTCGCATTTATTGCATTTTTCAAAATTTGTTTAATATCTTTAAGATTATTTGTATTAAATTTCACTTTATACTTTTAAGAAATATATGTCACTTTATTCACATTTATTTCATTCTGACCGTAAATAGAATATATTGAAACATGAGAAAAGATTCGATATACGTACATTTTGGATGGACACAAAGCAGATTTTCCGCTTTACTGTAAATTATTTTCACACATTTATCGATTATAGTAGTCCGTTTTATCTACGAGCATATTGTGTGAATATAGAATTCGACCTTTATGATAATTTTTTATAAATCACTTAATGTCTTTAAGGTTTTCTTAGTTTATTTCTTTTATATATATATATATATATATATATATATATATATATATACAGTTGTTTGCAGCTGTAAAAATACTCTTACAAATAATGATATATCATGATTGTTGTAGATTGATGGAAATACTTGGGGTTCCTCAGGTAGATCCTCAGCAGGACGTAAACCCACATTTCTCTGTCGTAATATTAAATCATATCGAAAGCATGCCGCAAGATTAATGAGAGGGAAAACATCTTCGCTTAATGCTAATCATCCGGATAAAGTCGCAGAGTAAGTACATTCGATACGTCGGTATGTAATTCGGTACATAAATTTATAATTAACTCTATTTGTACATATCATCAAGTAACAATATTGTAAATTTGTTGCAGATCAAGCGACACTCCAGACATGATCAATTCCGACGAAACACAATGTAGATTTAATCCCAACAGTTATACCATGCTTTTCATTGTCCATAAGGACAGATTTCTTTACAAACAAAACTCCATGAACCGTGCTAGACGGGTATGTTTACAATTACTTAAATGCTTAACACCTTTACATCAAACGTTGTATAGAGTTTGTTTTGTCCTATTAATTCTCACATCTTTTGCTATATTTCATAGCTCGATTTCATTAAAAGAAAAAAGAAGAAAATTGTGAAATATTTTGCTTTGACAGTGTCATCCAGCTGTAACGAAGCGTAAGGATTCCAAATTCCATCATTGGCATTCGTTATGGATATCCAAGAATAGCACAGATATTCAACATCGGTTGTGTCAAGATTGGTTGATGGGACGATACGAGAACTTGATTCCTCACAGGACACGAGTGATAACGGACAACGATCAGACACGTTCTCCCTACCGGCAATACAATCGTTTTCGAGTAGAACGTTTGCAATCTGATCTATTGACAGAGACTTGCGTCTAATCCAATTCGATGGGATTTTTTATCATTATTAAAAATTTCTCAATATCACTACACTCGCTATAATTAATTAGTCTTTTTTTTTTCTCTCAGCGAAAATTATTCTTTGCCCGATATGATTAAGACTCGAAGCAGAAATTCTTGAAATACGAGTTTAGTTTTGTGCAAAAAAAAGTAATGAATATATATATATATATATATATATTTCTCTCTTAGATAGGTACAGACAATGCTTTCGATATCCAAAGAAAGTTTCAATTATAAATTAAATTTGATTCCAAAAACATTAAAAAGAATAAATGGTCAATGGCCGTCCATGTGTTATATGCTATATCATATTATATTATATGTTTGCACACAAAGTTTTATTCTTGGCTATACAGAGATACATAGGCCTGTATTACATACACACATACACAACGATGTATAATAATATACTGTTGCGAGTTATTTAATACTATCGCACTGAATTCATAATTAGACAATTTTTGCCAGCCTCTCCTACTACTTGTATCGCGTTTTATTTTCTTATAAGATTATAACACTCGCTCGGTAAGTCGTGTTTATTTTACAATATCAATATTAATGTATTACGCGCGGAATTTAATACATTTTACATCTGTACATTTGAATACGGCTTGCGTCTTGGTGTTACTTTCGATATTTTAGCAAGTATGTACATATACACATATAGATGCTTATTTCGTTTGAGATTCAACTAGAAATGTAAACTGTATAACAAACTCTTTAGACAAGAGAATACAAAATTATTCAGTTGACGTTTCCAACGTTTGTGTCTTTAATGAAA